AAGCTACATAATGTCCTCTGTCTTGGTTTCCTTGTACATAAAGTAAGTGCCACAGTGTTTATTTCGCAACAATGTTGGAAGGATTAAAGGAGGTCTGAAGTACAGAAGCATTGCTTTTAGTTTTTAGTTCCTTTGAGACAGGGTCTCCCTAGCTAGCCCCTTGGCTTGGGACTCACAATGTCCCTGCTGTAACTTCCTGAATCCTAAGAGTCCAGGCAGGCACTGCTGTGTATAGTTTTATAATTCTTTTCATTATTTTGTTTGTTTGCTTTATGGCACTGGAGATTGGATCCAGGGCCTCGAATGTGCTGTGTAAATGTTCCCCCTGAGCCACGTCCCCAGTCCAAGGGGCCCCCAATCCTTGTGCAGTAGTGGAGTGTCTGGCAGGGGCCGGGGGAAGTTGGATTGACTTCTCCATCAGTGGTGACTAATCAGGCCAGCACATGGTCCTCTCATAACACGAAGGGAGGCTTAAGAAGCCTACAGCAATATTTTCCAACCTCTCTCTAAAAGCCTATCCCGAAAGCTGAAAAGAATATTCCAAGTAGGGATTGTTCCAGAAAGTCCAGAACATACAGACACCATACTCCAGCCTTCTTGGCACAGGGAGTTCAAATGTTGACTCACGTAGACTCTGAGCCCTGTCCTGGAGTGGCTTCTGCCACCTGTTCTGGGGGCAGCCCTTTGATTCCAAGGCTAAATTCTTCCTGACCCAGGAACAGTGTTTTCTGTTAGCTTGAGGTTCCGTGGGTAGATGGTACTGCTCAGGAACGGTGTTTTCGTTAGCTCAAGGTACCGTGGGTAGGTGGTACTGCTCAGGAATGGTGTTTTCGTTAGCTCAAGGTACCGTGGGTAGGTGGTACTGCTCAGGAACGGTGTTTTCGTTAGCTCAAGGTACCGTGGGTAGGTGGTACTGCTCAGGAATGGTGTTTTCGTTAGCTCGAGGCACCGTGGGTAGATGGTACTGCTCAGGAATGGTGTTTCCGTTAGCTCGAGGCACCGTGGGTAAGCAGATGGTATTGCTGAGGCACCGTGGGTAGGTGGTACTGCTCAGGAACGGGGTTTTCATTAGCTCGAGGCACCGTAGGTAGGTGGTACTGCCCAGGAACGGGGTTTTCATTAGCTCGAGGCACCATGGGTAGGTGGATGGCATTGCTGAGGCAGCAAGGACTTCCAGGGTATGGGAGCTGACATGGCCAGAAGTTAACAGGCAGTGGGCTGACCTGACAAATGACAGAGCGCTGGTGCTGAGAACGGCCAGTCTAGAAAATTTCTGCCAGGGGTCTCATTCTGAATACCACAGGGAGAGTCTCATTAACTCGCTCACTCACTCGCTCATTCATTCATTCATTCATTCATTCATTCACATAATGAGTACCTGATAAGTGTCATGCCTAGGATAGAGTTACAGAAATGCATGGTCCCTGCCCACAGGAACCCAGAACCTATCTTCTTGGGTGGGGAATTGTCCTTGCAATCGATGCTAACTACACTCACGTGTTCCTTCCCTCTCACTCGAAGGTCAGGACTCAATTCTGGCTCTGCCAGTAGTTGCACAGCTTTGCCAGATAGCCCTTCGAGCTCTGACCGGTCCTCGCAATGGCCCCTTCTCCAGACTGCCTGAGTGCTCTCTCCATCGCCTCTGGGGGTCACTCCAGTGACGAGCACTGCCAACCGCTTTATTTTACTCCACTTTCCCACACGTTCCTTTGACGCTTTCTCTCTCTTTCTACTCTCTTCTCCTTTTCCTCCTCTTCCTAGTCTCCCATCACCCCCCCCACTGCTCCCCAAAGCTGGACACTCAGCTGTGACACCAGGTTCCATCCTCTGCCAGGCGTCTTGTCCAGCACCTCCCACTTTCTGGTGTAGAAGGTCTCTTCCGTTTCCCTCCCCCTCTTCCTGCCCTTGCCCTGCTTCTCTGCTTTCTCCTTGCAGAAGCATCTCCTCCTGGCACCTTCCTGGCCCACGGTCCCTCCCACTTCCTTTCCCTGCTCTGTCTGCCCTCTCTCTGCCTTGGCTCCTCCCCACTTCCTTCATTCCCAAAGGAAGGGCACCGTCCCTTTCATAGAGCATGCCAGGGACAGCCCAGGCCTGTGGCTGAGTTGGAGGGAGATGTCTCCCTGTCTCCCCACCAGCAGTTACACTCACTGTCTTCTCCCTGCCCTGTAGCGCTCTCTCTCTCTCTCTCTCTCTCTCTCTCTCTCACACACACACACACACACACACACACACACACACACCACCACCACCACCACCACCACCACCACCACAATTCCCCCTACCATACTTCACTGCTCATCAAAAGCCCACCTTTCCAGCTGCAGATGCTTCCTCGTGGCCTTTCTTCCCACTTGGAGACCCTCGCCCCCCCCAGACTCCCCCAGCCTAAGGTCAGAGTTCGAGCTCTGTCCTCCTGTGCCAGCCGCTCGCACTTTCGTTCTGCCAGTCCCCTACTTTCCCGTCTCCTTCCTCTGCCCCCACCTCCCCGTGCCTCCTCTTCCAGGAGCTGGCTTCCTCTTTCCTTCCCCTCCAGCCCCCCACCCCTGCTTCCCGTCCTCGTCGCTGCTTCTGTAACCTGTCTCACCACCAGGGCCAGTGTGTACAAAAAAATAAATAAATAAAAAGGTCAGGGAGTGGAGGGAGCAGCAATAACCCCTAAAACAGTACTATCAGTGGAACATGATTGATCAATTGAATTCCATAGCGGCTGAAAAATGTGGGATTAAGTAGTGTATTATACGCACAATGAGTTGAGGCATGATGTTCATTTCAAGTTCATTTCGCCGGCCTCTGCCACCAGATCAGGCAATCAATAGGGGCAGCAGATATCATATATCACCTCTCTGCGGGCTGGGGAGAGAGCACCATAATCTCTCGCAAATTTAGAGTGACAGATTTGTCAAGATCTGAAGGGCCCCTGAATAAATGAAGGCAAAGAGACTCCTCCAGCCAGTGACCTGAGGACAAAGCTTTAGTTCAGCTCCTACACACACACACACACACACACACACACACACACACACACACACACACACCTCGGTCACAGGGTGAGGCAAGCCACACACAGGCATGCACACAAATCCACAGAGAGGCATGAAATGGATCTTGCCACATGTGTGTGCTCAGACTCACACACGTATTTGAATGCATGCTCACAGACGAATGTACCTTCTACTCCCAGGGCACTTTCTGTAGGAGCAATAAATACAACATCCCGTGATGCTGCTCTCACTGGGCCCCAGCAGCAGGGCTTCCCCCAGAAGGCAGGAGGGCTACAAGCAGAGACAGTTGGGCACCGTGGGCATGCAGACAGTGGCAGGCCGTGGAGGTGTGCATCCTGGAAAGAGGCATGCTCTCGGGAGAAAGGGGACATGGGCCCACATTCCTTGTGTGATGTGTTCTTTCAAAAAAGATTCGTGCTGTCCTTCAAACTCACCGAGACCCTTATTCACGCAAATGTTTACTTGCACATGTATATGCACAGAGAACACTCACACAAAGGGGAAAAAAGCATACTGTATTCCAGTCCCCCTACAGGGTCACACATGGCTCCAGAACCATTCAGAAAAAAATACAACTACAAGGTCTTACATCCACAGGAACCTAGGAATGCCACCAAGGCTGCCTCTGCCCACCTCAGGCTCATCTTAGTGTCTCTCTCTGAGTGTCTTTCGCTCTCTCTTTCTCTTGTTCTCTCTCTCTCTCTCTCTCTCTCTCTCTCTCTCTCTCTCTCTCTCTCTCTCTTTTCTCTCTTTACCTCTCCCTCGCTGACCCCCCCCCCCAACACACACTCTTTCTTTGCTCCTGAACAGTATGGTGGGAATATGGGAGGTCCTTTTGGAAAACAGTGCCTTTTGCTCCATCTGGGAGGCCAGCAAGGGAGGAGGATTGAGGTTAATCAATATGTAATACTTTCTATGGTCTCCCAAATGATACTGTACGACGTTACTGTATATAATGCAATATTGATTATATCATATCATATAATCACCTATAAACTGATATATATAACAGTCCCAGAGGAATACCCTAGGCCCTAAAGCACAGGCTGGCCCCAGGCCCAAGGCTTCCCAGCTTGTCATGGGCTGAGGAAAGCTAAGGAATGGCGGGCTGGGGCTGGAAGGCCAGGAGAGTCGCTAGGTGGGGGATCAAAGTGGCTGTTGGATGGGCTCTTTGTCCTCAGCATGCTCTAAAAGCTCCAAGTGACCAAACACTGGACGCAGGGACAGATAGGGCAATGAGCAGCCGAGGTGGCACCTCACTTGGAGTCGGGACTGCCTTGTGGCCAGAAGCAGACTCTAGTGGTCACCACCCAGCCCTTTTCCATAGAACAAGTCTTGACTCCTGTGGAAACCTGACAGAATAGCCAGCCAGGTGTCCAGGGAGCGGCTCTTACTGAGGCCTGAGCCAGAGCCCCCCCCCCCTCCCAGAGGAGAATGGTGGCCAGGTCACAACAGTTTGCTGCTCTCTGGAGTCAACTCGGGGGGTCCCCAAACGGGCACATGACTCCTCCCAGCCAGTGTCCCCGAGCTTTGCTTCCAGGGCCCCTCCTTCTCGGGAGTAGTTCATTACTTTACCCAGCCTGATTTGTTGATTTTCAACCCCTAGAATCCGTGGAACTGAAATTTATCTGAACCCAGTTCAATTCTCCACAGTAATGCCTGTCTGAGAACCCAGCCCCTCCCCCAGACGACGCAGGCTGGGGGATGGGTGGAGGTGCTGGGAAAAGAAAGCCTTGGAGACAGCTTCATGGGACCCCCTGGCCCCACCTCTTGCCCACCCAGCTATGACCCAGCCAGGTCTCTGAGGAGGGGCTGCCCTCCTAGGCCTCTAGGCCCAGGCCTCCAGCCTCCTCTAGCTTATGGACCGGAAGGAAGAGACCTTAGCAGGGTCCCAGGGTCCCGGGGTCCAGAGCCAAGCACGCAGCCCTTCACCCACTGCATCCTCCCTTGCTTCTGCTGGCCTGGTGCTCATGCCTGAAGTGTTTATGTGTTCCCCAGATGTGTCCGAGGGCTCAGTCCCTAACGGAGACTCCCAGAGTGGTGTGGACAGTTTGCGGAAGCACCTGCGGGCCGACACCTTCACCCAGCAGCAGCTGGAAGCTTTGGATCGGGTCTTCGAGCGTCCTTCCTACCCTGATGTCTTCCAGGCATCAGAGCACATCAAATCAGAACAGGTGAGAGGGGAGCTTCCTGTCCACCCGGAGCAGAGAGGAACTGGGCAGAGCAAGGCCCCTCTCACACCAACCACCCAGCCCCGCACGTGGTCATATGGCTACCACGTGTGCAGTGAACACGACAGCACAGACCTATGCTAAGGCAGAGTGAAGAAAAATAATGTCACTATGTAGTCACGGGAAACGACAAGATCTGGTGAGAGGATAAATATTATCTCTATTCAGTTTCCGATGCCTCATGAAGGGCAATGTGTCGTCCCTCAGTTTCTCCACCCTAGCTCTGCATTCTGGGATCCTGGTACGAGAAAGACAGAAATGTCCTCTTGCTATGACCCTTGCCCTGCCCCCACGAGGTCCTACAGAAGGTCTGTGAAGATCCTCTTGTCCCGTGTCGGAGGGGAACCCACCTGTGCCTTCTCCCTGATCCGCTGGGAACCCAGGCTGGCTGATAGCTGTCCCACAATGCTTACAGACACAGACAAGCACAGAGCACATGACATAGGCTGGCACACAGGTGCCATCAGCAAAACACACCACCCGGAAACAGATCCCCAGAGACCTCACATTTCAGGGCTAGCAGGATGGCTCAGAGGGTAACGGCACTCGCCACCCCGCGCTACAAGCCTGCCAGCCTGCATTTGGTCCCCAGACCCCACATAAAGTGGGGAGGGAAGAACTGACTCCACATGGCTGTCCTCTGACTTCCACATGTGCGCCATGGCATGACCTACTCCCCACACAGTAAGTTTTTCAGTTTTAAAAATTAAAAATAGACTTCCCATTTCCCATTACCTGCTCTTCCCACCCCACACAGTACTCACTATGGAACCCAGGAGTCCTGCAAAGCCCATAAATGCACACGCTTCCCAGGTCACCCTCTAGCTCAACAACCCTCTGGCACATGTCTCCACCCACACACCAGTATAGCCCCCCCCCAACCAGCCTACATATATGGCCTAGGTCAGGCCTTCAACCGCAGCCCAGCCTGCTGTGCATACACTTACACTCGTGTGCTCACACACATGCACACACTCGTACATGCACAGCCTCTCTGGCTCCACACAGCACAGTTGCACTCTAAGACTCCAACAGCTCCTAGTCTCTCTACTTTCTCCCTGCCCGCCCGTCCTTTTATCCCATAAGCTGTTTGTCTTCATAAAACAAAAATCAAAAGTCTTTTTAAGGTGCCCTGAGCCATAAACCAACAAAGGCGGAGCTGGCCGAGGCGGGCGGCTCAGTGCGCCCTCCCCGAGTCCCCGGCTGTATTACAATGAATAACCTTTATTTACTTTCATTAGGCTATTAAACACCAGCACAGTCATTTTTCCCCCTGAAACTCGGAGCAGGGCCCATAAAGCAAATCCGAAGCCTAATTGAGTTCATTTTAATTTCTCTCCGATCACAGCGAATTACTCTGGTGATAAATCAGGGGGCAGCTTCACCCCCAGTAGAAGGCCTAATTTGCAGCTAATTACAAAACTGATTTCTACAGGAAGATCAATACGAGAAGGAATTGGAAATGACGAGGCAATCCCGTCCAGCCAGGGAGGGGAGGGGGCCCTCTGGGGGGGCCAGGAAGCGGAAGGGGAAAAAAAAAACGGACCCGAAAGAGCAAAAAATCAGTTTTAATTTAACGTAATATTAATCAGAGCAACTTTTCCTGCTTTGTGCGGGCTCCTGGTCTGCCCAGCTCCGGGGTCTGGCTTGGTAGTGGTTGCAATAAAAAGGCAATTACCCAAGTGTTTCGGGCAGGACACCCTTTCAGACTCAATGGCTGCCCCCCTCCCACCCTTCTGTTAGCCATGTGGACTCTCCCCCTCCCCAATTTCATACCCCAGTGCACAGGCAGAGAGCAAGGGGCCCATGGGGCTGTCTTTGTTTGTTTTTTAAAAAGGGGCGCCCATACCCCATCAGGCAACCGAGCAGTGCCAGGCCGGAGACCCGCTAGGCACTTCCCCCAACAGCTACCTCAGCCATGTGTCAGGCAGGGTCCACCTCTGCTCCCCAAGGCTCCTCCTGCTCAGAGGAACCTGAGCACCCCACACTTCTCGGTGAGGGGATCCCTACTGTGACACTCCCTCCTGGGGCTTCTTAGGCCAAAGGTGAGGAAGCAGTTCCAGGGGTGTTGGGAAGTCCACCCCCAGTGTGTAGACTATACCTCCACTCACCATGGCAGGTCCACCCCCTCCCTCACCAAACTCTCCGGCCCCACCCAGCCATCCCCTTCCGCCCCATCTGGGCGGGCTCCGGGGTCCTCCTCTCCATCTGCCTGCTGTATCTTTCCATGTGGACGCATCAATAGAGAGCTGTCACTTTTCTCTCTTCTCCCAGGGGAATGAGTACTCACTCCCGGCCCTGACCCCTGGGCTTGATGAAGTCAAGTCAGGTCTATCTGCATCCACCAACCCTGAGCTGGGCAGCAATGTGTCAGGCACACAGACGTACCCCGTCGTGACCGGTAAGGGGGCTTCCGGGAGGGTGGGGCGCTGCTTTCAGTGGGGTGCCTCGGTCTGCGCCATCTGGGGCCCGGTGTGACAAGTGGGCCCCCTGCCATGGTATCTGCAGAGTGAGGGAGACGAAGAGAGAGAGAGAGAGCCTTCGTGAACAGATGTGTGTAGACGTAGGCATGAAACACTGTGGTCAGGGTTCTGGGCTTCAGCCTGGAAAAGGGGGGACCAGAGGCCCGCTGCCTGCTGTCTCTGCCGTCCTTGCTTCCTTTCCTCTCTCTCCCCAAGTTGTCTGGACTTCCCAGGCTTTGGACATATGCGGAAGAATGTCAGGACAAACAGGCCGGCCGAGGAAAGTGGCTCAGAGGTCCCAGCCTGTAGCCTTCACGCGTCTCTGTTCCCAAGGGTGCTGAGGGCTTGCTGTCCTCTCTCCAGGCAGCTTGAGGAGCTGTGGCCTGGGACCCCAGGGTGTAGCAGCAGCCCTGCAGAGCGGAACACAGTTGTTGCAGCCTTTCTCCTACTTCCTGGAGAAAGCCACTGAGAGGAAAGTTGGGGTCCAAGGCCAGGGGAGGTCAAATACAGGGCAGAGGTGCCCTGGCCCAGCCTTCCAGGGATGAGGGCTGCAGAGGCACTGGGGTGACCATGCAGGGGAGGGCTAGTAGATGATGCCTCAGATGCCAGCTTCAGAAGGTCCCTGGTGCCATGGCAGGGTTTCCGGGCCAGGAGAGTGCTCCAGTAAGAGAGACACACATTGAGGTGTTATTAAAATTCACCTAATTATTCTGGAGGCACTAAAGCCAATGTGCCGTTTGTACCTTGGGAGACGGGATGATTGAGAAGGGTCTCGGTGGGGATTGGGAGACGCTGAGGCGTTACCTGCGAGTGAGCTGAGACTGCCTGGGGACAGGACAGTGAGGCTGCAGCCAGCCAGCATCACATCCAGTGGCACAGACAGGGAGCGGGCATAGGACCTGCCATAGGCCAGGGCTCTGTGGTGACCGGTTGTGTTGGTGACTTGGTGACTTGCTGTGGATAGGAACACAGCTCAGGCTGAGGTGGGCTCAAAGCCCCTCCTCCAGGGGGCTCCAGAGAGCCCTACCTCTCCCATGCTCTCCTGAAGCTATATGGCCAGCAAAAACAGAGTTGTAGTCTTCGGGGAGGCCTCCAAAGCAAGTGCTCCTGGGCTGCCTAGGCTTTGGGGAGTGATGTTCTGAGCTGCGCCAGCTGAGTCAGGACACAGCTTAGATCAGTGATCCTCAACCTTCCCAATGCTTTCCTAATTCTTGTGACCCTTTACAACCTACAGTTCCTTATGCTGTGCTGACGCCCAACCATAAAAAGTATTTTGTTGCTACTTCATAACTGTAATTTTATTACTGTTATGAATCATGTAAATATCTGATATGCAGGACATCTGATATGTGACCCCCCCAGGGGGTCACGACCCACAGGTTGAGAACCTCTGGCTTAGCTCACAGGCCCTGGACATGAGTTCTCTGATGCTGCACAGAGTTGCTCTGTGATCTTCTGACCCAAGTCAAGCCAGCTTTCCAACGTAGTGGTTAGTCCTCAAAAGTGCTGAAAGAGCGTAAAGGACTTTTCTCCCCAGTCAGTGCCGCAATCCAGAAGGCAGGAACTTCCTGGGGATGGACACGTGGCTCTTCCGGGCAGGACTCCTGCTGCAGGAGACACTGGGGGGCTAATGTAGAAAAAGGCCTCCACCTTGAGGAGCCCCCACCAGTCTCCCCCCCTATGGCCCTGGAACGGTCCCAGCTCAGCCTGGGAACATCTTCAGCTGATCCATCTGGATCCAAGTGTGAGAAAAGTTCATTTCAGACTCAGCTTGACATTCCCAGGTGGCAAGTTAGCACTAACATCTCAATCTGTATGCGACATTTCAATCAAGCGAGGAGTAACAAAAGCAGAACCATTAACATTCGGAGCTGTTCACCAGTGGTAATGACGGGGAAACTCGCTCAGAAACTGGAAATTACCAAAAAAGAGAGAAGTGTGGAGAGGGGTGGGGGAGGGGAGGGGTGGGTGGGGGCAGGGAATGATTTTTGCACACTTAGACCCAGACCCACTGTTTGGATTAATAGTGCCATTACTCGAGAAAGGGCTGCAGATTATGCTCATTCTTAAAATGTTTTTGCTGGCAATTAAACGGCTGCAGCTATTGATCTTTGTTGATTTTATGTCCTCCTAATTTGCATAATCTATTAAAGATGAATGATTCATGATGTGTTTATTATGGGGACAAACAGAATTTGCTGGAGGTACTGTCAAGGTGAGAAACGGGATGGCCCAGAGACTCCATGGGCCATCTTGGGAACAGGTTTAACGCGCTGGGCCAGGACTTGGTAGGTAGCAATGAGCAGTGTGGCAAGGACAGGCAGAACCAAAGGACTTGGAGTGAGTTCTAGGGAGATGTTGACATCTGTGAGAACTGGGCTCCGAGCATGCTGGGGAGGTGAGAGAGACGCGGTCTATTTGCAGAAATTCCTCTCAAAAATCCTCCACCCCATAGGGTCTCACTATGTAGCCCAGGCTGGCCTCTAACTCACAACAATCCAACTACCTGGGTTGGTTCGATTAAAAAGAATAAGCCACTGTGTCCGGCTCACAAACATTCTTTAAAAGCTTGTTTCATTTGAGAATAGTAAGGGCTTTGGTGGAGGAAAAGGGAGCCTGGTAGGTGATTGTGGCCTCGTGGGTGCTGAATCAGGGAGCTGCAAGGTCATGCTATGCTAATAGCCTTGGATGTGCCAGGGGATTCCACAAGTCCCCAGGTGCCCAGCTCACTCTTCTCCCTGAGAAGAGGCAAACCCTAAGAAGTGGGTCTTAAGGAAGCTGCCTGGGAAGGCCTTGGCCCAACCTGAGAAGCCAGACCTTATTGATATTCCTGCCACCGCCTGGCACTGGAGGCTGATTTCAAACTTCACCAGCCACTTGATACAGCTGTTCCACAAGGTCAGGACTGAGAGGAGACAGGAGCCTGGACTACTGTGTGGAGGGGAGAGTGAGAGCCAGTGGGCCAGGACACAGCTAATCACATCACAGGCAAGGGTGGCTGCCACAGGCTAGGACTCAGCCCGATAGCCTCCCCACCCAGCTTCCAGCAGGGAACCAAGGCAAGACACCGAGGGTGGCGTTTGCAAGTTCTGCCGAGATTTTAATTTCGCTGCATCACAACTCAGCAAGCTGCCAAGTCAAGCTGGTTATTTAAATTTATCACCCACTCTCCCCTCTGCCGCGGGGCTGCCCGAGCTCGGCGGCATCTCTGCTCCAGCCCACTGCTTTAGGCTGCCGGTCTGGAACAGAGCCGAGTCTCAACTAAGTGATAAGGAAAATGGGGCCCACTAGATGGGAGAAGGGGCTGGGGCACTCTGGCCTCAGGCTTCCTTAGGTGGTTGCTTGGAGCGTCTTCAAAGGACCCCACAGGGGAATAGCCTTTAACCTTTAAGTATCCCACCACCCCTCTGATCTGGGACTCCACAGAGAGGCCGCTGCTACAGTCACGTGCTCTATCTATCATTTGCTTCCTAAGTTTCCCATCACCAGTAGCCACAAGAGCCCCTCTTCCCCATGGCTTCCTCTCTGGCCCTGGCCCTGGCCCAGGCTGCAGCAGTAGGAGAGTCTGCGGAGACCCTGAAAGTGATGTTAATCTGAGAGGAGAAGATGAAAACAAGTTCTAGGATCCTCACAGTCACTAGGCTGCTTTAGAGCATTCCAGAGTGCCTTGACTTGGGCAAAACTCTGTTCTACAGCAGAGCCAGTTTCCTTTCCTGGGTCTATGTGGGCTGAGACGAGGCTGAAGGGAGTTGGTGCTAGCACAGTCCCAGTGCTTCTCAGAGAAGCTAAGGGACACTCACGTCCCTAGAGCAGCTGCACAGAGTGGGCTTCGCTGGCCTCTAGTGGGCATCACTCCCAAACACTGGGCACACCTTGGGCAGATGCAGTTCTCACCCTCAGGGCAGCAAAGGTATGAGAGGCACGATACTCGGAAACAAGGCAGACTAAGCTTAGCAAAACAGAGCTGGATAAAATATAACAGCAGAGGAGTTAATACACAGCCACAGCTCGCTCCGGAGCCAGAAACAGAGGAAAGCCAGAGTCAAAGCAGGACACGAGATACTGTGGCTTTCATAGAGAGGTAAACCCTGGTGCAGGGATGTTGAGGTATAAGGCACCAGACAGAAGGTGTGATCTTGGACCCAAGAGAAATAGAGACAGGACAAGGACAACACTGTCCAGGAGCTGGAGAGCTATGGGCTCTTTCTTCCTCATGAGCCAGGGGAAGAAAGAGAGGCACATGTCATGAGAAATGGGGACGTGAAAGCTCATACGTAGACCTAAGTCCAAGTTCATGCCATAAGTAGTTGCAGGAACCCCAAGCCAAGAACTTACACAGAATTTTGTAGGGGACAATAGTTCACTCCCGTGCCAGCAGGAACTGTGTGAAACCTTCCCTGTAGAGACAGCCCATGATCTAAGATGCAAAGGACTCCCACTGAGAAAAAACAAACAAACATTAAAGCCTACCATAGAAGATGATGAGCTCACCATAAAAATATTTCTACACTTCATGTGACTATGAAGCATCATCATAGGGAAAGTGAGCAGAAGTGACGCAGAGGACAGTTAACATCCCCAAGAGCTAGCCATCATGGACTACCCCAAAGTGAAGATCGATGAAGGAAAAGATTGAAGAGAAAGACTAGCTTTTTCTTTAGCCTTTAGTCTTCTCTTTAGTCTTCTCAGCAGAGTCTTGCTCTTCTTTTGGATAATACTGACTATGAGAGATTTTAGGCCCCTGGACAGCGCTCTCCTTCCCTCTGTATGTTGCAAGGGAAGGTTAGACTGTGCTGTCTTCCCAGCCCTGGTGGAGAGGAGGTAGTTTTATTCAAGATCTTGGGGAAACTTTCCTGGCTGCCTGGAGACTAGAGCTTTGAAGGAAGCCGTCACTCAGGTCCAGGAAGGATCTGTGGATGCTACCCAAGAGAGGAGTGCC